CACAGGGATAGACGGGCAGATGGGCACATGCTTCATTCTTTGGCTTGTCCCAAGCCAGGGAATGGTGGCAATTATAACCCAAATTCTATTAATGATAAAATAATTTAAACATATTTGCACAGTTTAAAGAAAAAATTAGGGTAAAGCCCCAAAACATTTTTTCTCGCACACTTGAGTCTCCATTCCAATTCTCTTCACCTTCGGTAGTCTCTCCTGGTGCTATTTATGCTCAGATGAGGCCTTCCTAAGGCCCAAGATACTGGTATGAGGAGATGCTCCCCACCCCCAGTTCCTCTGAAATTACCCCAAGGATGCTTTTTAGTCATCTTCTCTCTAGGCCAGTTTCCTTATCTGGAAAACGGAGGTAATAGTAAGTACTTCATAGTTACTGTGATTATGAAGTGAAGAAAAGGAAGGAAATTTTCCCCAGATAAAGCACTTGTGTTCCCTTTCCTGTCTTTCTACATGTTCCCATCTCTGGGATGTCTAATGCACCTCAAAACTGAAGTTGCCACCAAAGCTTCCACCCCTATGCCTCACAGTTCCTATCTCAGAGGCATCAGCTCCTACAGCGAGTCCCCAAGCCAGGAACTTTTGCTGCTTCCGAATAATCACTGAGTGATGCTAGCTTATATACTTCACTTGTCTAAAACAGTTGCTTCATGCTGTTGAGTTTACCTAGGTGCAAGTATGCCTGATGGAAACTCACCATGGGATTAACTGTGGCACAACTTGAACGGAATTGTTTTCTACTACTTTTTTTTTGAGACAGGGTCTCACTGTGTAGCCCAGGCTGGAGTACAGCGGCATGATTATAGCTCACTTCAGCCTCAAACTCCTAAGCTCAAGCAATCCTCCTGCCTCAACCTCCCAAGTAGCTGGGACTATAGGTGTGCACCACCACACCCACCTGGCTAATTTTTTTTTTTGAGACGGAGTCTTGCTGCCCAGGCTGGAGTGCAATAGTGCAATCTCAGCTCACCACAATCTCTGCCTCCCAGGTTGAAGCGATTCTCCTGTCTCAGTCTCCCAAGTAAGCTGGGATTACAGGCATGTGTTACTCACGTTTGGCCAATTTTGCATTTTTAGTAGAGATGGGGTTTCTTCATATTGGTCAGGCTGGTCACGAACTCCCAACCTCAGGTGATGCACCCGCCTCGGCCTCCCAAAGTGCTGTGATTACAGGTGTGAGCCACTACACCTGGCCTAATTTTTTATTTTTTGTAGAGATAGGGTCTCACTATGTTGCCCAGGCTGGTCTCAAACTTCAGGCTCAAGCGATCCTCCCACCTTGCCTTCCAAAGTGTTGAGATTACAGTTATACTACTTTTGCCAAATGCAAAGACACAAGGCTGGTTTTGTGTTTGGATGCTACCAAACGGTAAGAGTAGGCATGCTGAGGTCTTATAACTTCAAAAATTTAAAAAGTCATCTGTCAGTAATGTATTAAGTTCTCCAAACACCTGTGGCTCTTTTTTTTTTTTTTTTT